CCTTGTGCATGTGGCAGGGCTCAGGGTGCATTGCAGCAGGTGGTCAGTGGTTTGCTCTTCTCCACACTCACACTCTGCTGGCTGTTGAATTGGATCCCACGTCGAACCCTTCCCAAGTGTCTAAGACCAGGTGATGTATCAGCGAATAATGCATGCAGATCCCTGTCAGGTCGCCTTTTGCAACTGGCAGATGGTAATCTTGTCAGCGCTGATTGTGTTTAAGTGCAGACCAAGGTCTTAGGGCACTGCATCCAGTGTGCCGATCACCACTGGGACCCCCTTGAGTAGCTTGTGCCAGAGTCTTTGCAGTTCGATCTTTAAATCCTCATATCGTGTCAGCTTTTCCTGTTGCTTCTCTTCAATCCTGCTGTCACCTGGGATTGCGACATCGACAATCCATACTTGGTTTTGTAACACGATTGTGAGGTCAGGAGTATTCTGCTCCAAAACTCTGTCAGTCTGAATTTGGAATTCCCAGAGGAGTTTGACATGTTCATTCTCTGTAACTTTTTCCGGCTTGTGATCCCACCAGTTCTTTGTGGCAGGCAGATGGGGTTTGTGGCGCAAGTTCCGATAAATTTTCTAATATTTTCACAAACCCCGATGATATCTAGACATTTGATAATCCAACAATGTGGCAGTGAGTCAAATGCTTTTTTGTAATCAATCCAAGTTGTATAGAGGTTTGTTTTGTATTATTATTATTATTATTATATACCAGGCTTGGGCAAACTTGTGATCCCACCAGTTCTTTGTCGCAGGCAGATGGTATTTGTGGCACAGGTTCCAATGGATCATCTGAGCAATGGTGTTGTGCCTCTGTTTGTAGTCTGTCTGTCTGCGTGATCTTCTTTCAGCAGCTGAGGATGTGATCTATTGTTTAGTCTGCTTCTTTGCAGAGTCTACATTTGGGATTTGTCGTCGACTTTTCAATTCTGGCTTTGATGCCATTTATTATTATTATTATTATTATTATTATTATTATTATTATTTATATCTCGCTTTCTCTCTCCGCAAAGGACACTCAAGTGGCTTACATCAAAAGTATTTCAATACAATTTTTGAAAGTACAAATATTAAAACAGATTTAAATATCCTTAGTATTAAAAGCAGCCTCGTGTTTCCTTCTCGCTTTCAGCGTGTCTTCCAAATCCAAGCACCTGCACTTCGAGGTTGTGGGCGATGGGAACCTTCCCCAGGTGACGGTGGTGCGCCCCGTGCTGCGCAACAAGAAAGGGGCTCCGCTTCTCCTCTTCCGGAGGCTTCTGCTGGGACACACAGAGACGCTCCCCCTCCTCATCAAGAACAGTGGCAGCACCCTCGTCCAGGTGATGAAACACGGAGGGTCCGTTCACAGAATTAGGGGTGTGTG